GGCATCATGACATTTTTACACACTCGATATGATTATCACTTGCAGGCTTGTATTATTAATACTTCTATCATGGTTACCCAGCAGTGAGTACTTCGGATATAGATGAGACAACAGCAAACAATTTCTATTACCTATAAGATCAGAAGTTTGTTTCTACTACAAGTTTGTGCTTACTCAATAGGCAGAACATTCTGGAAGTGATTGGGACATCACCAACTGGGTCCCTTCCAGCTTTTTTGATTTATGATATAAAAAGCTACTGAATTGGAATATAGAAAGTACTTCAGCACATCTATATATATTCTCCCTATGACTACTGTGGTATTAATGAAATGTTGGAACTTGAATTTACAAATGTTAATGACTTTTGGTCAGAGTAGCATCAAATATAAAGAAGTAAACTGGTAACTAAATTCTTGAGCTATATATTTTGCAGTGTTCTTTTTGTTTTAAACATTATTGTTGTCCAGCATTTGAGTTAGCAAACCATAGTAAAGTACTTCCTCCTGATGTAACTTTCAATGAACACTAGACTTCAGAAGGAAGCAAGTTGAATAAACAAGATCTGCAGAAATTCCTTTCCAGTGAAATTTAATAAATATTTTAACAGCTAGTCAAACATACAAAAATATTTTTCTTCTGCTGCTAACTAGGCAGGTTTTATATACAGTTATAAAAGAAGTGAGTGACTGATAAATTTCCCAAGCATATCCTCTGCGGAATTCCTGCTTACTTCAATGTATCGAGTAACAGGGCCATTCAAGAAAAGAACTAAATTGCTGATTGCTTCCCAGAAGCTTTATTATAATGAGTACAGCATTGGTGAACACATTTCTGGGAAAGCACAAAACTGCTTCAATCATTGGAAGGCAAGTGGATGAAAATGGTGAAATGCCTAAGATGCCTATAATGGGTGCAAGTAGTGAAAATACCAGTTTTAGGTTTTGAATCTGGTAAGATTCTACTCTAGATAACTTGAATACAGTCTTAAATACTTGTCAGTACCAGAACTAGACAAGTACTTTCCATTATATATAGAAGGCTGTAGAAGAAAAAAAATCTGAACTTGTGTTCTGGACACCAACTAGCACAATTAAATCACAGCACAACTGTATGTTGACTCTACTTAGACCAGGGGTAGACAATCTCGGCTCTTTTATGACTCGTGGACTTCAACTCCCAGAATTCCTGAGCCAGCATGGCTGACTCAGGAATTCTGGGAGTTGAAGTCCACGAGTCATAAAAGAGCCGAGGTTGCCTACCCCTGACTTAGACCATCTAGATTACTAACCCCAGATGTCAATGAGGAAATATTTCATCCTCTCACCACCAAATACAGTGGGCTTCCTTTAATAGTGGAGAAAATAATTAGACTTGGAGAAATTACTGTAATTGAATTTAATTTGTTTATTTCTGCATTGCATTTAGAATATCGGCATTCAACGCTGTCCTTTGTGTAAAAATCAGTTTAGTTCCTCATAGTATACAAATAAAAGTTTATCTGCTATATAGATTTTTTTTTCATTAATAATACCCCATTCTTAGCACTACAGATTGTGTATTTTAATGTTTATATATGACCAGTCAGTAAAATAGGAAGTATTTTCTTCATATATTCATGAGAAAAAAGATTTGTGTACAATAGTGTACAAGAGACGTATTTATATCTGGCACTATTAAAGGCCTTCTTGTAAATGAGTACATGTGTGGGAGGCTAGATGTACAGTAAATGGATTAAAAAGGATGACTCAGAACACTTTAGTTCCTATCTTTTATAAAAAGCACTTGTTCTGAAACTTAAAATACTTTAAAAGAATAATAATCTTCAAATAAAATCAATAAGCATAAAATATATATCCGAAGACTTTCTATATAATTGATTAAAGAAGCAAAATATACCTTCTAGGTTAACTAATTAAATGTTAGAATTCATACTCTTTACAATCCTGAAAACTGATGAGCAGGACATTTTATAATTATACCGAATAATCTATTACAAAATTTTAATGGCACTCCCCCTCCCCCCACCCCTTTATCCATTTTGAATGTATGTCTCTGTGTAGTTGACAACCAGGATTTTCTCACTGATTATACACAAACAGCACTGCTGCGTGCAGGGAGATACACCATTTCTGTCAACTTGAGAACCACATCACACTTTTCTTGATGTGATGATGGACTATATTCCAGAAGGAGGCAAGATCTGTTTTTGGAAGGGTTCAGGGAATTTATTTCACATCTGTGAAAAAAAAGAAATTTATTCCCCAGTTTAAATAGATAAATAAATCATGCAATTTTTAACCTATGCATTCTGAAATGTATGTATGTAGTCAGCATTCAGATGGTGTATTGTAAACAGTACCAACATTTGTGTGGATTGACTTTAGATAAGAAAAAGAACCATAGGTGGTCAGACATTTATCAGTTGGATCCAAACATGTTGTGGAAATGTTGATGATGTAAGACAGAGTTATCTAATGTTGGCAACTTTTGAGACTTGTGAAGTTCATCTCTCAGAATTCCTTAGAATTCTGAAAAATGAAATCCACAAGTGTTAAAGTTGCCAAGGATGGGTACCCCTGATACAAACAATAATTTAACATTAAGAATAAATAGATGTCTATTACATTTGCATTTTAATAATTATACTGTACTATTTAAATAACATCTAATAACATGCAGTTCAAAATTTGTTTTTAATTTTCCTCATCAGAACTTGACTTCCATGTAGTAAATGCAGCCTTAGCTTTGGATTTAGCATTCTCCTTACTTTGTGAACTGCTACAGTTATGGGGACAGACAGGTGCTGGAGTCTCAGTCTTACTGGAGTGGCTGTTAAAAGAAGATGACTTGAATGATCTAAAATCTACAATTGTGGTAAGTCTGTCAACCACTACTTCTGTACTGTATAGTTCATAGATGTTTTATCAGATTTTATACTAAATTACTCAAGACATGTTATTTTAAAATATGAAACTAGTTTAGAATCAATATTAAAATTAAAAGTGTTTTCCATTGAAAATTCACTTTCATCATTAGCACAGTACAGTTTTAATTAGTTATCATTCACCTATGAATATAATTAGCATCCAGACTTGGATGATCAAAGTTTATAATCTCAAACTGTTGATGATTCTTCTGTTCTGATTTATCAAATAATATTGGATTAAACTAACTCAGTAGGGCTATGTATATCATATTCTGTAAGTTTGGTCAAAATCCAGAGATTTTTTGAATCAGTTGGGTTTTTAAAAGCCCACTATATCAATAACATTAAGCAAAAAAAATTGCTGGTAGCTTTCTTTTTCAAACAAATATCTGATATAGTATATGGCTACAGGAATGTACAGGTAATTCTTGATCGATGACCATAATGGAGTTTGCTCATTATGGACACAGGTGGTGAGAACTGTTAAGTCAGCCTCACTTAATGATCCCCACGCCCTGCTCTCCCTGATGCCACTGTTAATTGAATGCAAAGGTCCTTAAATGAGCATAGGATACCTGGGAGGGTGTCCTCGGAGGCCTCCCACCCAGCTGAGCCCATAAAGGAGGCAGCAAAAAGCTTTGCAGAGCTAAAACAGCCTAGCAGGGGAAAAAGCCCAGCTAGATTAGGGCCTAGCACTGTGTTCCAATGCTGAGAGGCTTCCAAACAAACCTCTGTGTTTGGCCAGTGAAGCTGCACTTGTGGACTGGGCCTCTGCCCCAATCAGTTGGCTCTCTGGAAACTGCATTCCTCTCCTGGCTCTCGGTAGGCTTTGCGGAAGGCAACTACCTGTATGCAAAGGTAGCAGCTTCAGGATGAGTTTTCCAAAACCTTTCCCTTGCTTAAGAATCCCCACCACCACCAGAAAGCCACATTTTTTCAATAAAGAAAAAAAAAAGCTGGGAGGGAGAGACTTGTTGATTGTCCCCCCCATCAGATGCTGAAATTAAACTCCACCTCTGCCTTTTAGTTTCAATCCCTTTAACCACCTCATATGCTAAATTTATTGCATGGCTGGAAAGGGTGACAAAATCTGTGAGTTACTTACTTTGGTAAGTGATTGCCAGGCTGAAGAGTAGAGGAAAGGAAGGAAGGAAACAAAGAAAATCCCTGTGGTTGGTCATAAGGAATGGGTATCATTCTTTTCTGGGTTTCATGAACAATGGGGTGCTTGATGTTATTCTGTTGTTCAAACGTGATGTGAATTTTATTGATTTGATTACAGTATAGTCTGATTGTACTGTACATCTAACATTGCTTTGTTTGCTTATATATCATATGGGCATTCTTGCATATTTATTTGATCTAGGTAATTGTAAACATTTTTTTTCTCTTTTTCTGAAGATGGGAAATGACTACCTGTTTGACAAAGGAAAAACAAATTTTTGGGCTGAGAAGTTAACAGAGGTACGTCAGCTCAGTAAACATCTCCTTCTGCTCATACCAGTGACTCATGTTAGTTCATGTGAGCAAAGAAAACTCTGTCAGTTGGCAAGATTAGCATCAGATCAGGCCCAACTTGTGACACAGCTTCTTAAAGAAATGCCTCCAACTCCAGAATTTTCACAGTCTGTAGAATTTACGAAGTTAGCTATTCAGAATGAAAGAATATCACTTTGCCTTAAGATACTAAGTTTGCTTGAAGTTGGAAATGGAATTTGCAAAAGTTAGGAAAAACGTGAAATACAACTGCTTGCTCTTTGTCAGTTACCAAATGTAACTGCTTTGTGAACATGAGAGGGTGCAGTTATTTTTTGTGTCATACCCATACAAAGAACTGTATCTAGAAATGTTAGATATTTCTTGTACATAAATCCACTGAAGTCTTCATTCAAATTAACACAAAGGGATCAACTTGTTAAAATATGTAATTTTCATTTGGGGCAAGAAATTTTTTATAGCTTTGCACAGATGCTGGTCATCTGTGAAACTGATTTTATTCTGTAAGTTGTTCTTCCTGTTTTCATATATAGAAATATGTCAGATTGCATTGCTTCTTTTATTTGTATATCACAGTCTATGCACTAATAATTGCATCAGAGTTGTAAAAGAATCTTAAAATAAAGCTGAATGTTATATCACAGCAGATTTTTTTTTAACTTTTTTAAAATCATGATTGATTTTTAAGACTTGATTGGGGAATAACTACAGAGTGGCAGTCAAATATGCTTTGTTTTCATTCAGCTGGATATAAGCAATTGTGCACTAGAATGCTGTAATGTAGGATAGATAGTCACCTATAATTCTCAAAATATAACTTTTCATTTTTCCTAATCATTCAATGAATAAATCTATTTCATACTTTGCAGAATACCTCAGCTCTAATGTTATTATATGGTAGCAGTTTGCTTTGTTTTATATAAATACTTGAAACAGGCATTAGGTGGTGCTATAATACTATTTTGCTATACAACCACTACCTAGATGATGTTTTCTTAAGTTCAAGATAATACTGAAAAATTGGAATATTATGCTAGTAAATGTATCTTCAGTGGACTAATATGACACTGCTTGACTCTGAACAATTGTTTTACACACACACACACTCTTCTGATTCCCAACATCATGGGTAAAAAATATCTGGGTTGTGGAGAACAGATTTATTTATTTAGAAATTTTATATAGCTGCCTACTTGCTCACAGGGATTCTAGGTGGCTTACAAACAATAAAAACACAAATTAGAATAATAATAAAAAACACACCCCTCATTATCCAGTCAAATAACCCATTCGATGGGCTCCATCTCACTCTGAGTTCTCCAGGCCTGCTGGCAAAATGAAGTCTTCAGTGCCTTATCTGAATTATCAGTAATATTTTCCTAAAATATTACTACCAGTAGTTCCTATATGAGTAATGGACCAATAGACTTTTCTAACTATGTTTAATGTATGTCCAGCTGGTTTCCAATGATACAAGTAAAAGAAAAGATAATGTATTAAATGTACTTAACAAAATAAAAAGGAAACTAAGTATATTCACAGATTTCTTAGGATTTACTTGAAAGCATATAAAGTGCAACAAAAGATAGTGAACCATTGTTATACACCACACACTCTTTTCAGTTAAGTAACGTTGATTCCCTGAATGTGAATTTTCTAAGCTTTAAACTTTCATATAATTGGCACTCCCTGCATGGACTTGGCATTGCAGATATTAACAAAACAGGAAAGAGCACAATGGTTCAAATCTAAGTGGCATTAGCAACTTCTAGTCTTGGTTAATTAGTAAACAAAAATAATGTTAAGAACCATGCTTATCACTGGATTTAAAGTATGTTTTAAATCATCTAATATCCCTTTAGTTTATGAATAGCAAATAATTGTAATTAATTCTATGCACATTTCATCATACTATGAGTTACTGTATAACTTTTCAATCAGAAACCTTTAAACCTTAAACAACAGCTGTAAAAGAACAAAAGTCTATTATTGAGTGGTTTCTGTGTAAAGTATTTAATCAGAGTGTGCTATCTTACCTATTGGTTGTTCAAGTGTTGATTATAGGTATCTGTTCACTGCAACTCTTAAACTGAAAAGGGGAGAAAGGGGCATTCCCTAATAAGAATTAACAACTTTGGATGTATTTTGTCTCACCAGATGCACAAAATATCTGATAAATGTATTTAAAAATGTTTTAGGAAAATCCTTTTAAGACTGCAATTTTATATAGTGAATTGCATGAGTTCAATAGCCTTTTACGTCACAATAGACAGTAAAAGACCGCCGTTGAATAACCACTGGGTGGGGTCAGAAAACAAAATCCCGGCGGTGTTTGGTTTTATTACCGAAAATCAAAGAATTATTTTAAACCCGGGGAGACCTTCCCATTTCCCCAGCGCAGAAGCGAAGGCTACTGCTGTTTTTGCAACCTTGGCTACAAGACTCGCCACTTCCTCGATTTAGGAAGCTTGCTTTCACTTTACAGGATGCAAGCACTAGGGGGCATCCCCACCTTCCGTAACTACTTCTCGTCAGTACGCGAAGCTGTCACGTCCACAGCTTGTTAGCAAGGCAATTTCGAAGCCTCAGCCTCCTAGCTGCCCAGGCGTTGGAGCTCAAAGGTTAACCCGGGCTCTTTTTTTCACGCTTGCTGCGCTTTAGTGGCCGCCCGCTGGGGAACGCTCGCACTTCGGCTAGTGTAGCTCTCGGAGACTGACCTTTCACTCGCCTTGGAGACGGCTCGGAGGACATTTCTCTGCGCAGCCATTTAGCAACAGGAGTTACTTGAAAGGCGCCCTCTCCTCCCTCCCTCCCTCCCTCCCGACGAGAACGACGCGCGCCCGGCGGGTTAGCGCCTGCTTGGCCGAAGAGAAAATTCAAGCCGGGAGCCCCGGGGCGAGGCGGGAAGGAAGAGAAGCTGGGCACCTAATGGTCGTGGAAGGGAGAGGCGAAGGTGCAAAGCCCAGATCCAAGGGACTCTTGAAGTCGGCACGGCTTTGCCACCGAGAAGCCCTGGATTTGGAGGGCCTGGCCCTTTTTCTCCAAAAGACATTTTGGAAAGACGGTCCTTGCAAACTGGAGGGGAGATGGGAACCCCACCCTCACTCGCTCCCTTTACTGATACCAGCCGCCCGTCCGCCATTTAGTAAAACGCAGGGCTGTCATTCTACGTGCTTCTGCGCCGATCAATTCGATCGGGGGGGTAGACGGGTGTGTTTGTGTGAAGAAGAGTAAGCCGGTATATTCCTACCAGCGTTTTAGGCCATTCGCCAGCCGAACTGCATTTAGTTTCTATATATATTCGCTTAGGGTATGGCTAATTGTACAAAGAGGTGGGATTGAAAGATTGATGTTACTTTTTCTGCAAAAAAAAAGGGGGCGCTTTGCTTTCACTGACGTTAAAAGAGTTACAACTACGCGGGGGCGTATGAATAGCTCCCATAAGGCGCTGCAGATAGGCTGATTCTAGAGTTCGCCGTTTTAGCGAGCTTACCCTTTAGGAAAGACAAACTTCAGCAAAGAAATTATGTCTCTTAACTCAGTGCAAACCTCCCCAGCACCTCTCCTCCGTTTAAATCTACCATTTTTGTTCGTCTGTCTGATACAACACGCACAGGTTTCCATCGGCAAATGACAAAACAGCCAGCGTGCATTCGTTACTGGCTCAGAGACCTGAGATGAATTTGGGAGAGGAAAGAAGGACCCATTACTGTACCAACCTCCTAGGCCAGGGGTAGGCAACCTTGGCTCTTTTATGACTCGTGGACTTCAACTCCCAGAAGTCCCGAGCCAGCACAGCTGGCTCGGGAATTCTGGGAGTTGAAGTCCACGAGTCATAAAAGAGCCAAGGTTGCCTACCCCTGGCCTAGGCGGACGCTCAAATCTCAAAGGGGCGGGGCTGACGGCAGCGAGCGCCCGAACGTGGCTCCGCAGCTGCGTGGCGTCAGACCGCCCCACCTCCCTTGCTCTTTGCCAGGCGCAGCGGCGCGCTTTGTCGGGTTGGAGCGCAGAGCTTGAGGCTGTGTGTCAAAGGAGAGAGAGAGCTGGCTTGGCCAATCGCATCACAAGACCTTGAGTGGCTGCCAAGTCTGCCAAGTAAACGGTTGTGGGGCGGTTGCAGGGAGAGGGAGCGGGGGGGGGGGGAAATCCCCTTTTCAGAAGGGAAGGCGAGGCCAGCGGAGGGGAAGGGAGTGCTCTCTTCGCCCATCGTTCGCTCTCTAATCTTAACACGCACTTGTGGGCACCAATGGAACTCCTGCCCCGCCGGATGGCCCGAAAGGGATTCGTTTCCAAAACCCGTCGCGTGGCACAAAGCTCCTCGGAGAGAGGAAGAGGTGGCGTTGGCGGGGCGTCCCAATTGATTTCGCAGGAGCCTTGGAAGTTTGTCCTGCTTCTCTACGATCTTCCCAAGCGAACCCAGCAAGGGTGTGAAACGGGCTGCAAATCCCCGGGCCGGGCCTTTGTTTCCTTGAGAACTTTCGAGCTGTGCAAAGGAGTGGCGGACTTCGGGGCAGAGAGAAAAGTATTGAATAACGATGGGTTTCTTTACATCCACCGCCCGTCTCCCCACATTAAATGACGTAACAAGACAATCGCGCTGCAGCACTGGGTGCAGTTATCGAACCTAGATTTGTTATTCATAGGTCTCATCTTTCCTAACTTGGAGCTAAAAGGACCAATTCGTAAATAGACACAGGATCGTACCTCAGTTCAGTCAAGTCCTGCCCTATAGCTTTTCTTTTGCCACCGACTTTCTGCCCTGTCTGGCTTAGCAGGTGCAACAGCCACGCTATGCTTGCACGCCGCGTTTGTACTTTGCCAGTGGTTAACCTCATGGGAGTTTCCTGAGCACATGGCGTTATTACAGTTCTTGTGGGAACCAGCCGCCAATTATATTCAGCCTTTCGTATGCTGAAGTGCACTGTGCAACAGTAAGTCTTCCACACGATGTCTACCCTAAAACATTTTCTGTCGAGAGGAGCTATACGCTTATACCAGGGGTAGGCAAACCTTGGCTCTTTTATGACTCGTGGACTTCAACTCCCAGAATTCCTGAGCCAGCCAAGCTGGCTCAGGAATTCTGGGAGTTGAAGTCCACGAGTCATAAAAGAGCCAAGGTTTGCCTACCCCTGCGCTATACGTTGACAGCATGCATTGCAGCGCGTATAGAGAACAGTGCTTTCTCTATGCGAATCAACAAGCTTTCAGCGCGTGCCTAGTACAGCAAGGACTGAAGGAGGGGGGGGGGAAAGCTGCTCCGCTCAGCTTTCGTACGCTGTTAACCGTACAGGCCTTCCCCCTCACGGAGGTACTTCAAGAAAATTGGCGGCGCCCAATGAGAGAGCGTAGACTACAAAGGGCGGAGCTAAGCTGGGAGGGAGGGGAATCGTTGGGTGGTGTTGCTGGGAGACCCCGGCCGGGTCAGTGTTCCGTCCCTCCCCGCTGTTATCCCGGCATTTATATATGGGGCGTGTGCAGCTGCTGCGAAGTTCCAGCAGTCTAGATAGCTGTGGCTTTGGTTGAGTCTGCCTGGGAAACTGATGAGATTAATTCCGATCTCAAGCAGTTAGCCCCTTTCCTATTCAGTCGTGGCGCATCCAAAGCTTCCGAGGAAAGTGGGATCTTTCGGTCCTTCCTGCATTTCCGACCATTACAGGATCTAGAAATGTCTACAACACTTTTATCTGCCTTCTACGACATCGACTTTTTCTGCAAGGTAAGAGATGAGTTCGTGGGGTTTTTTTTTTTTTTTTAAAGGAGAGGCGGTCGGAATAGTTTTTAAAACTTATGGCGAGAAATTTGCCAAGCCTAGGTACTGAGCTCGTTTGAACTCGGGACTATACTTTTTTAGTGATCTTGTGGAGAGACAAGCTGCAAGATCTGTTCCGTTTTGCAAGATATTTCGAGGGAAGGTAAAACTTTGACGGACGCCAAGCAACTTTTTTGCTTACTAAAGCGTGCGTATGTAAGTGGGTGTGTTTTAAAATAAAACGACAGATACATTGAGCCTCATACTTGGTACAGCAGGCTCCAGCTGTATTGAATCGGAACTTTTAAAGTGCATTGATTCGAGGGGGTGGGGCTACAGACCACCCCTCGAAAAGTTTTAAATTGCTTGCAGTGGGAGGGATTCTTGACAACTAGACTCATGGATCAGCGGCTGAAGCTAGTGGGAAAGGGGTCTGGGCGGCTCGAGCGCTCATAGGGCGTACTGAAAATTGCCAAGTCTTCTTCCAAGATTTGGGAATCACGATGCACGTTTTTCCGTTCTAATTTTCCGCCTCCCTTTTTTTTTCCGGTTCCCAGACCGAAAAATCCTTGAGCAATATGCTGGACAAGAAGGCAGTGGGGAGCCCTGTGGGCACCTCTCCCAGCTCCAATTTCACGCCGGGCTTTCTGCGAAGGCACTCGACCAGTAATCTCCAGGCTCTGGCTAACGGCAATGTGAAGTTTCCTAGTGCCTCGCTGTCCGCACCCTCTAACTTCGGCAGCCTTAAGGAGCCTGGCAGCGGAGCAGGCGGCAGCAGCAGCCCCACCATCGCCTTGCTGAACAAGGAGAACAAGTTTCGAGACCGGTCTCTCAGCGAGAACGGCGAACGAAGCCAACACCTCATGCAACAGCTGCACCAGCAGCAAGTGGTGGTTGTGGCAGCGGCTTCGGCGGGAAAGGGCGGCGGCGGCAGCAATGGGGGAGGAGGCGGAGGAAACGGCGGAGGGGGAGCGCCGATCAACTCCACACGTTACAAGACAGAGCTCTGCCGGCCGTTCGAAGAGAGCGGTTCCTGCAAGTACGGCGAAAAGTGCCAGTTCGCTCACGGCTTCCACGAGCTCCGCAGCCTGACCCGCCACCCCAAGTACAAGACGGAGTTGTGCCGCACTTTCCACACCATCGGCTTTTGCCCCTATGGGCCTCGCTGCCATTTCATCCACAACGCGGACGAGCGCCGCCCAGCGCCCGCCGGCGGCAGCACTAATCCGCCGGCGGCCCAGCAGCAACCGCCCCCGCCGCCTCCTCCCCCTCTCCAGCCCAACCTTCCGCCTCACAGCAGCCACCCCTCGCACCACCACCCTTCCCTGCACCCCCCACACGCGGGCAGCACCGGCGACCTCCGCGCCTTCGCCCCCTCCGCCCGAGACCACCCGTTGGGGCCTGGCGGCGGCAACGGCAACAGCTTTGGCATCCCACACCCCCGAGGAGGAGGGGAGAGGCCCAAACTCCACCACAGCCTCAGCTTCTCCGGTTTCTCCACCCACCATCATCACGGCGGGGCTGTGGCGCAGGGCGGGCTGGAAGCGGCGGCCCTGATCCTGGAAAGCCCCGGTGGGTCCCGCACCCCGCCGCCACCTTCGGGCGGCTCCTACTGTGACGACTTGGTCGTCTCTTGCGCTAACAACGCCTTCGCCTTCTCGGCCGGCCAGGAGCTGGGCAGCCTCATCGCTCCTCTCACCCTTCAACCGCCGCCGCCTTCCGCGGCTCAGCAGGGCTGCTTCGCCAACGCGGCGGCTTTCTACCGCTGCCATCAGCAGCAGAGCGCTGCAGGGGGAGGAGGAAGCTGCTGCCCACCGCCCGGCCCTCCCGCCTCCCCGCCTTTCAGCTTCCAGCCTTTGCGCCGCCTCTCCGAGTCGCCCGTCTTCGACGCCCCTCCAAGCCCTCCGGATTCTCTCTCCGACCGAGAGAGTTACCTGAGCGGCTCCCTCAGTTCCGGCAGCCTCAGTGGATCCGAGTCCCCCGGCCTGGATTCGGGTAGGCGCCTGCCGATTTTTAGCCGCCTCTCGATCTCCGATGACTAAGGAGGTCAGGAAGGGGGAGAGGCCTTTGGAAGCTCCCGTTTTTTAGGGGGTCCTGTTTCCCTGGGCAATCCCCGTGGGGTAGTTACTCGCTGCCCTTTCTTTCCTGTCTTACTTCCCATCCTATTCATCAGGAGTGGAAACTAGCCAAGTTCGCACAGACTATTTTTGTTGCTCATTTCTTTTTCAGTGTGCTTTCCTTTTTTTTTTTTTTAATTAAAAAAAATCCTTTGATTGCTGAGCAAATTCAGAAAGGAGAAAGCAAAAGAAGCTTTTTTTTTCTTTTATCAAGATGAACAAAAATCAATTTGCAGAAGAGCAAATGATGTCATCAAAAGAACAATTTATTTTAACCTAAAGACTTTGGAAGGATGGGATTTCCTTTTTCCCCCTCCCCTGCAGCCCTCCCAGACTAGTTTAATGTGCATCACCAGCAACAGCCATTCCATTTTCAAGTGTTTTGTGGGGAGGATACAAAGGGTAAAGAGTATTTAGCAAACAAATCTATCCAATCGTACTCCCTGAGGAATCAGCAATCAATCTGGAGGCCCATGAACTCTGCATTCCAGGTCCCTTCAGATCTAAATACAACAAAAGAAGAATAAAAGAAGAGTGGAATTTGTTGCCTTTCAATCAGATTTAAAGTAAATATACTAAATGTATAAGCTTTTAAAAGAAAAATCCAACATCCTGCCAAGAATATGCCTTGATAACACTCTAGTTTTTTATGTATCTATATATATTATAACATGCTAAAACTTCCATTCCAAAGTTTAATATTGGTTCCATTGCCACCACTTAGTGGATGTTTGGCTTAGAACAATTTTTGTTGCTTTATTTGGAAGCATTCAACTGAGTTTAGTTTGTAATTGTTGATGAATAACTGCTGATTTTTTAATTTTTTTTAGCTGAGTTGTTTGCGCAAGTCACTGCACAACTCAATATGAACCTATTTAACTTATTTATTATCTTGTGAAAAGTATACATTGGTAATTTGTTCATACTGTATTTATCGGGTATGATGAAAAGCAATAGATATATATTCTTTTATTATGTTTAAATTATGATTGCCATTATTAATCGGCAAAATGTGGAGTGTGTTCTTTTCACAGTAATATATGCCTTTTGTAACTTCACTTGGTTATTTTATTGTAAATGAGTAAAATTCTTAATTTAAGAGATTGTATGTAATATTTATTTCATTAATTTCTTTCCTTGTTTACGTAAATTGAAAAATTGCATTGGCTTTTTTTATGGAAATCTGACTCAATGCTGTGGAAGTAGTTTGAGAAATTTCAGTGGTTTTTTTAAAAAAAGAATGTACAATGGTTGTAACCCGTCCAAGCTTAAAATTACTTCACAATCAGTCCAAATTTAAAGTGGCAAACCTTATTCTTAAAATTAACCAAAATGTATTTCTGTTGCCTAACTTCACCAATCACACTGTGATAGTTTCAGAATATGTAGCAATAAAAAGGGTGGGGGTGGGGGGTCCCAGTATTATGTTTCACAGTGCCTTTTGTAAGGGTCCATGCTTGCCTTAAAAATCTTCCTCAACCAAACGAGTATTTTTCTTAATGCTTGAGAATTTGAATGTAGGGCTGGGTTTTTAACTACAAGAAATTGTACCACTCATTTTTATTATGGAGGCCACCTTTTGGATCTGAACCTCTTTTTTGTACAAGATTATATCTTTATTAAGATTCCAACACATGCAACTTTTTTGTTGTGTAGGAAATCAGGAGTTATCCAAATCTTCTCTGGGTGATGAATGAATGAGCAGTATCTTTTTTTAACGTACATAGGTACAGGTTCAGCACTATGTACTCTTTGGACTACTTTAACAGAAGTATGTTTTGAATGTAACTAGAAGATAAGTCAACTTGAGTTGTAATATATTTTGGAGAGTCAGTTCACTACAAATTCGAAGTGTGAGACTGTAAACTTTGTACTGTAAATGTTTTGTAGTTCTCCCAATAAAACTTTTGAGGAAAAAAAATTCCCAAGCTATTAAAGCCATGTCTATAAGTTGGTACTTCTTTATTAGATTTCCCCTGCCAATATGGTATCTAGCTACAGATTAATCTAATATTGAACTGCAGAATTGCTCCATTTCACCTGGAAGCTTGCCAAAGGCAATAAGCTGTTCCAGAAGGTTCCAAAGTACTGCTGCAAAAAGACACACAATCCTATACGCCACTGGGGGAGGGAAGGAGAGGGAGAAAAGATAGCATTTCTTTGTAGGTATAATCTTTGTCATGTTTACAGATTAGAAGGAAATTGTAAAGAAGGGTAATACAAAAACAGCTTTTTTTAACAATGGACTGCAATCTTTGTTGCATCAGAGGATTGTTCTTGCTTACATACCTACAGTGTTTTTCAAACTTGTCAACCTTTTTAGATGTGTGGACTTTCATCTCCCAGAATTCCCCTGCCAGTATAGGAGCTGAAGTCCATACATCCTTAAAGTTGCCAAATTTCAAAATTTGGTTGATCCACATCAACAGACATAATGCCAGGAACCCCGCACCATCTGCTCACCATTGCCCATCCTCAGGATTGTTCTTGCTTACATACCTACAGTGTTTTTCAAACTTGTCAACCTTTTTAGATGTGTGGACTTTCATCTCCCAGAATTCCCCTGCCAGTATAGGAGCTGAAGTTCATACATCCTTAAAGTTGCCAAATTTCAAAATTTGGTTGATCCACATCAACAGACATAATGCCAGGAACCCCGCACCATCTGCTCACCATTGCCCATCGTCAGGAAGAGCCGTATACATTAGATTATTTGTGCCCCATCTATGACTGCCTTTTCCCTTTGTAATCCTGTTCCCATTTTTCTCATTGGTGTAGAGAAATAACCCAATCTCTTAGGTATATACTTAGTAGGTATACAACCTGCTTTAAAGCAGAGTTCCACAAAGTGGTCAGTAAGCCCATAAGGGTCGATAGGAATATCATAGTACTATTAAGTAGTATTAAATTATTTTCATATATGTTTGGTAGCTGAACAATCTGAAACATGAAGGGTTGATAAGCTGAAGAGTTTGGGGACCTCTGCTTTAAAGGTTTTTGCCTTAAAATTAAGTCGTATATATAAAAGGGAATATGGTAACATGTAGAAAGTCTTACGTACCTTTTAAAATGCAAGGCTATAAGGCCGGAGACTGAGTTCAAGTCCTGCCTTACCATGAAAATCAGCCCAGTGACCTTGGTTAGTCACTCTCTAGCCCAACTTACAGGGTGGTGGTTGTGGGGAAAACGGGAGGAATGTGTGTTGTTCATGTTCGCTGCCTTGAGTTATTTGTAAAAATTGAGAGAATATAAATAAATATTTAAGTAATATTAAATAGAATTAACTTGTTCTGAAGAACTGGTAGCCCTCTCTAATATAAGTGTCAAGAAGTTTATAAATGTGCATCCATCCTTGTCAGGATAAATGTTTAAATGATTATTTCAACACAATCAGATGTTTTTGGTTTTGATTATACAGTACACAAAGTTAATACAACTTATCTGGGCTGTGAGGTTGACTTCTACAAATATTAGCTACAATGCAGCACTGCTGCCACATGCTCCTTAGGTCAGCAAAGCTTGGACTGAAACATTCACAGATTATTTGCACAATATTCACAGAATCAGTTCCCACTGTATCACTCAGATCCGTGATTTTTATTTATTTATTTTTGCTATGGTTTTTATAAGTACGTATTTGGTGACTGATTAATCAATGGCTTTTATGGTAACCTTTGTTAGGAAAGAAAAACCTGCTGAGAGAGAAAAAAAAGGACTTTAAGTGTAACCTGATGTGTTGGTAGTATTTGTCAGCCTAGAAGTGGCTGTCTTTGTTTGTACCTTTGAACATTCTCAAACATGCATTATTTGCAAAACTCATGTAGTCATCTCCTACAGGCCTACGTGACCTGTGGCCTACCATTCTGGAACATAGCCATTCCGTGAGGCTGGTTTGCTATTGCTATGTGGCCACACTTTGATTCTGATTTTCATACCTATTTTAAATGAACAAAGTGATGCCTTTGTTACTTGCCCAGTGCACTAAGCTTCTTCAATTAATATGTAGCTTATGTTTCTCTCATATTAAATTTATATTTTCAGAAGCCTTCCCTAACCTGGAGACCTCTAGATATGCTGATTCCAGTTCCCATAATACCAAGTTATTTAACCTTGTTAATGAGCTTATGGGAATCAAGGACTGGCCAAATTGGGGAAGGCTGCTTTACCACAACCATGCAAGATTATTGTAATATAAACAGAGAATGAAAATCAGGAAGTAACAAGGCTTAACACTAACTGGAAGCCTGGCAAGATTGAAAATCTTGATTTGATAGCAGGCTGGTTCCTTAAGTATATTATAATTTTTAAAAAATTATTTATAAACATTTTTAAGTTTTGTTCCCTACCCCTCAAAAAGAGGTAGTCAAATAATGCTGAAGTATATTATCTCTTATCTTTCATTCCTTTCTTGTCCTTTTACTGATGAATTGGCTTTGGGTATGAATCATAGCAGTACAGTTCAGCATTTCCTGATTTTGATACAAAGCTTGAGAAGCAGCTGTTTCATATTATATTCGAGTGTTCAGTTATTTTCATTCTGTGCTAAAACATCTAATGGTCAGCAGCTTAAGGTATCTTAAGGTATCAGCAGCTATCTTTAGACCCAATTCTATATTAAATCATTTCTTGTATAAATCCTTTCTCATTTATACATACATACATGCACAGCCATATAAAATCTCAGAATATGTGTGTGTATATTCAGTCCATAGACATTCCTGAAAATAAATGTTTTACTTTGCATATTTAGTTTTCCTATTTGAGATTAAAAACATTCATGATGGAGCTTGATCATATTAATATGTGCAGACTACATAGCTTGGCCCATAATAGAAAACATGCTATTCCTGAAGCATAGTATGATAGTTTTGTTCTTGGTAGAAGACTATTAAGAAAGGAGGTAAAATTAAGAGGATCCATCTATTGGATCAGACATTGGACTTAACTCCACTAAGCCTGTAAAGCTACAACTATTTGCACTGAACTTCTGCCTTTAAAACCAAGGGATTGTCTGAGCTTGAGCATATAAAACTCATAGTAGAGGTATTAAAAACATTAGATCTCTTCTATAATTTGCCTTTGCAAAGCCTAGAAGCGGTTATTGTACTCTGTTCCAGT